TGTGTGTGTGTGTGTGTGTATATATATGTATATATATGTAAACACATAACTCTAACTACCACAGAGCACTTCTCAAACTTTATTGCTCATTAGAATCACCCGGGCAGGTTTTAGAATTCCAGATACCCAGAGCACACCCAGACACGAACCTGAGACTCCAAGAATAGAGCCTGGGCATGAATTGTTTTGTTTTGTTTTCAATTTCACTATAAGCCAAAGAGGGAGGGAGGGAGGGAGACAGGCAGGCAGAGAGAAGTGAGAATCACCCCCTCCCCCAGGGGGTATGGCCACACTGCAGTCCCTCTCCATTCTCCTCTTGGGATCCTGGACATGTGTGCACACACATCTAGCCACTGGCTCTGTGATTTGAACCAGGGAGTCAGCCATGTGGGATCAGCTGCCTTAACCTCCACACCACCTGCTGGGCACTGGGCATGAGTATTTTTAAAAGACTCCCCAAGTGATACAAAGCCATGTCTGGGTGCCAGTCAAGGGGACACGGGGAGTTCCTACTCCACACAGCCCTGCTCCTGGCACCGGGGTGTCTGTACTGGCTGTAAGCTGTAGCCAGCCAGTTCCTACAAAAGTTCCTGCGTGGTGTAGACGCTCCATGTCCACCCCGTGAAGAACTTCATCCCCCCGTCTGGGTATTGGTAGTACCCCTAGAGCCCCAGGCAAGGCCTGTATCCATTCTGAGACTGGGAGCCATCTTTCTTATCCCAAAACTGATGGAGCGGTCTTGGGACGACACGCCTCCGCAGTTGCAGGTGGTTTTGCAGCAGGACAATTTTAAACTTGGGAGTGTATGTTTAGGACATGAATTATCACCTCCCTTCTTTATATACATATATAAGTGACTTTGCTCTGTAATTTCCCTGCTGTTCCCAGGCCACCACAGCGGATGGAGTCAACCTCAGCACAGAGGTCGTCTACAAAAAAGGCCAGGATTACAGGTTTGCCTGCTACCACCGGGGCCGGCCCTGCCAGAACTACCGTGTGCGGTTCCTCTGCGGGAAGCCTGGTGAGTGGCTTCGTTGGGGACAGACATGCCACCATGGCTCTGCTCCTTGAGCTGGCAACTCTGTTATGAGTCTGATTGTCTGGGTCAGCTACCTCCAGGCATCTCAGCGACACGGTGGCCTCACTGAACTCTTGAAAGGGAGCACTTTTGTGACATAGGAGCGTTGGGAAGGTCCTCAGAGTTGGCAGAAGATAGCAGAGCCCTGCCCTGCCTGACGGCCTTGCAGGAAGGGGAAGGGCCCGGTCAGATGGGCAGAGCTGACCTCCCCGCGCCCTCCCCTGCAGAGACGCGTAGCCTTTTGCCTCTTTGGGTGCTATTGTTTTAAACCCAGCTCTCAAGGTGCTTGTTAGAAGGGATTGGAAATGGTTAGCTTGCTCTCGGAGGCACTTGGCCATCTCCAGAAGGTAGTCATTAGGGATGAGAGTTTTTTAGGGGGAGAGGTTTACGGCTACTGTAAATAATACTTGAGAAAAACTATATTTGTTTTACATCTTGAGCGAAGTGGGTGTGGTGAGGCAGCCACATCTAACTCCAGCTAAGAAGCTAGTGGAAAATTCCCCTGTTCGGGGCTAATGAATGGTTCTTTTCTGGTAGGGTTTTTTGTTGACTTCAAAATCTTGTACCAAGACTGGGCTGGTGTGAGCCCGGTGATTTGGTTTCTGGATAGGCAAGCCTGGTATTAACTTATTTAGGGAAGGGATGAGAAGAGACGGGCAGCTGAAACTCTTGCCAAGAATGTCCTTCCTGTTTTGGGTTACAGTGAGGCCCAAACTCACGGTCACCATTGACACCAACGTGAACAGCACCATCCTGAACCTGGAGGACAATGTACAGTCGTGGAGGCCTGGAGATACCCTGGTCGTTGCCAGCACTGATTACTCCATGTACCAGGCGGAAGAGTTCCAGGTGCTTCCATGTAGAACCTGTGCTTCCAACCAGGTCAAAGTGGCAGGTAAGACTTTCACTAACCCTTCCAAAGGCTGGATGCATCTGAAATGGTTAGGTTTAAAGTTCACTGGAGTCACGACAAATCTGTATCAGTCAGCTATGGCCACAGTAAAGCTGCATAACAAAATGTTTTTGTCAAACAGCAAGCATTTATTTCTTACTCATATATCTTCAGGTTGTCTAAAATTCCTTTTCTCTAGATTGAACCTAACTCTGGGCTGAGAATTAGTTTGAGGTTGGCTCCATGTGACTCTCATTTTTCCTAACACATGTTCTAATGGGGGCAGTTTAAAGTTACTAGAAAGGTGGTGGAAACACAAAAGGACGTTTAAGGCCTAAGTTCCAAACTGGCACACTCTCATAGCCTCACCCAGGTGTCCAAAGCAAACCACACAGTCAAACTCAACACAAATGGAATGAGGAAGCACATGTCTCCCATCAAGATAGAGGGAAGTGAGTATTTGTTAGAAATTAATTCAATCCACCTCAAACATTTAAATCTCTTCTTTCTATAGCTTTTGGATTTCCTTTTCCTTCTCGTAAATCTTGACTTAGTTGCCCTATGATGTAATGTATGTTATGTGATCTTACTGGAATCGCAGATGGTTAGTGGTAAAAGGAGAACTCAAATATAATTCAGGTCACGTACTCTTAGTGGAAGGGCTCATGTATCAGGATCCTTTGGTGGTAAGCAACAGAACCCAACTCGTCTTAAGCAGAAAAGGCACTTACTCAGACACTGTTAAGCCCAGAGAACTAAAAAAGAAGCTGAACAACCAGATATACAAGGACGAGAATCAGGGCAGCTTCAGGAACCTGGGTAGCAGGAACTCCTGGGCCTCATCCTTTGAAGACGGGGCACCTGACTAGGCCCGAAGCCTGGGTGCTCACTCTTTGACTAAGAAAGGCAAGAACTCCCATTGACAGCCCTTTGAAGACTACATCAAATAAAAGGTCGTTCCCTAAAGGAAAGTGAGGATGTATTACCAGGAGAAAGGGGATCAACACTTAGCATTAAAAATATACACGTGGGACCAGCAGATGGCGTAATGGATTATGTCGTTGGACTCCCACATGGCCAACAGTGGTTTGAGTCCCGGACCCAGTGGCTTGTAACTCACACTGGGCATGTGTGTGTGCATGCCCCCGAATCCTGAGAGGTGACTAGAGAAGAAGGGATTGCAGCATGGCCACTGCAGTCACTTGGAGGGTGACTTCTTGCTTTCTGTCTGTCAAGCACACATGCTCTAAAGCAAAAGTCTCTCCCTCACTCACTCCCCACGCCCCCCAAAAAAATCACACGCAGGGCTAGCAGATGGTGTGGTGATTAAGGTACTGGACTCCTACCTGACCAACCACTATTTGAGTCCTAGACTGAGTAGCTTGAAAATGACTCCAGATGTGTGCGCATGTGTGCCCAGAACCTTGAGAGGAGAATGGAGGAGAGGCAGTGTGGCCAGTCCCCCAAGGGGGGTGATGACAGTTGAGCTCCAGACCTAGTGGGTCGTTTTCTCACTTTGCTTTCTTTCTGTCTCTGGTCAAAATAAAAAATTAATAATAATAACAAAATTAAATATATAAATAATTCTAAAAAATAAAATAAAAAGGGAAGACCAGACGACCGAGAGGAACAGCTTTCTCTTGCTTTGAGCGCCTAAGGACTTTGCCACGGAGTGAACGCCTACAGGAAGGTGTGAACAGTGGCCTGAAGTTGTTTCGGGCCCCGGATGTGACTATTTGTGGTGACAGGTGATAGCAGATGGGGTCAGTCTATGACGCTGTGTTGAGGAAGGCATTTTGTACGTGTTCACGTTTGGTAGAAGCGAGATAGCCGTTTCTCCTCTTCGCCCTGACGTCCGCTCTCAGGCTCTCCGTCTCCCCAGTCTGGGGCAAGGACACAGCCTGCCCCCCCCTCGTTTCCGTAACTGCCTGCTCCCAGCTGTCACTCAGGGGCCGCCCCAGGCTGGCTGCAGATGAGGACGCATCCTTCCTGGATCATCTTGCTTCAGTGTCCCCAAATTCCAGTAAACAGGCCTTTCTGCATTTTAAGGATTTTCTGACAGGAAACAGATGGGGGCAACAAAGTAATGAAAATGCGTGAATCATCTGGAAAAAAAAATTTTTCAAGATTTTGCCAACAGCGTGATGGCCGCTCCTCCAGATGTGGCAGCTGGAGCGCCCTCCCCTCGATTTGCTGCCCTGCAGTCATTGCCACCTTCCTGCTCTGGCTGTAACACGGCCCTGCCTAAAAATACTACTGCTGCTCGTTAGACCAGCCGTGGACTGGGCCTCTGTGACGCTCCATGGGCTTTAGGTCCACCATTGTGTCCACGCTTCACGGCAGCCTGGGGCTGTGGGGGCCGCTGTTGCCTTCATGACACCGACGAGGAAACTGAGGTTCGTGCACATGGCGAGTCCAGACGTGTGCTTTCCAGTCATGCCCACCAGCCGTGTGTGGCCACTAACACTTCATTCAGATTCAGTCCAATTGGAAATTCCACTTCTTAGTCCCCAGCAGCTGGGTGTTAATGTGATTAATGGTTACCGCCTTGGGCAGCCCAGAACAGAGCACCTCCCTTATTGCAGAAGGTTCTAGTGGGTAGCGCTGGTGTGGATCAGGCAAGCCAATGTGTGAGCCGGAATTCAAACTCACAGCTCTCTGGCTCTGAGGCCACACATGTGCCTGCTCTTCCTCTGTAAGGCTCTGACCCCAGCATCTCCATGCAAAGATGACCATGCAGGGAACCCCAGAGCTCGACAGTTTCAGTTCCCCCGTTCGGGGCCCTCCGGCGCCTCTGGGTGTGTGCTTGTACCTGATGACCTGGGAAGGGCGGGCCCTGTCTCCCCTCCCCAGGCTCCCTGGACCCTGCTCGGCTCAGCTACAAGGACACACATTGTCTTCTCCCACTCAGCGGTCCTTGACATTGTTCTTGCCTGGTCCCTGGTGCCTCGTTCACGCCTATCCTGGAGGGAGGGCACCTGCAGGGTGCACAGTGGGGAAGCACGAGGTTTGCAGTCCCACATGGGGTAACCACGCAGAGCCCCTCCATTCCCAGCTCCTCCCCCTGGCCCAGGGTGCTGATGGGACAAACCCGGCTTGTCCGCTGCGTTTCCCAGGCCTTCGAGTATCCGTGCCCTGAGAAGGAAGGGCAGGGTGGTGTCGGGTGGGAGGGTCGCAGACAGGATGGGAAGCGCAGGCTTCCCTAGGACGGCAGTCTGGGCGTGGCCTGGGAACGCTGCCGCTGGACAGATAAAGTGGCCGCTGTAGGCGACAGCCGC